TCCATCTTGCTGTAGCGGCTGCAGGCGCCCACCATCACCTCATCCAGGAACTCTGGGTGGGAGGAGACGCTGCTGAGCCCCATCGCTGGCCACCCCCTCCCTCCCCGACCCCGATCCCCCTCTCCCCACTGCTGGGTACCCACCGATGCGAGCCACGGGCACGGCGGCTTGCAGCACCTGGACGGTGCAAGCCACGGCCGCCCGCACGCTGGGGAAGGAGGCGATGGTGACGGCGGCCGCCTCGGGCAGGGGGTGCAGGCGCAGCGTGGCCTGCGTCAGGAAGCCCAGGGTGCCCTCGGAGCCCACGAAGAGCGAGGTCAGGTCGTAGCCAGCCGCCCTCTTCCTGCACGGAGACGGTGACCATGGGGACACCGCTGCCGGCCACTGCCCGGGATGGCCTGGTAGCCCTGGGATGGCCTGGTCCCCTCCCCGGGGCACCCACCTGGGCTGGCGGCCGGGCCCGGCGGTGTGGAGGAGGCGCCCGTCCGGCAGCACCACCCGTAGGTTGAGGACGTTGGGGCGCATGGTGCCGTACCGCACGGCGTTGGTGCCCGAGGCCCCCGTGGCCGCCATGCCGCACAGCGAGGCGTCCGCCCCGGGGTCTGCAGGTGGGGGGACGGGGGCCATGGGGGACGTCCCCATGGGATCCCATGACAAGCCAAGGATGGTAGCCCAGAGGACAGCCTGGCACTGCACCAACCCCAGTGTGGCCCAGGGACCGTGGGGACCCTACCACTCACCCCTGGGACCATGGCACCCACTCCCACAGAGGCCTTCCTGGGACCAGAGCACCTCAATGGGCACCCCAGCAACCCTAGGACCATGGCACCCACTCCCCCAGGGGCACACCTGGGACCAGAGCACTTTGGTGGGGGCCTAGCACCCCTGGGACCACGGCACCCACTCCCCCAGGGGCCTCCCTGGGACCAGAGCATCTCAATGGGGACCCCAACAACCCTAGGACCACGGCACCCACTCCCCCATGGGCACACCTGAGGAACCCCTGGGACACTGAACTTCAGTGGTCACCCCAGCAACCCTAGGACCATGGCACCCACTCCCACAGGGGCACCCCATGTGAAACCCTGGGACCAGAGTACATCAGTGGTGACCCCAGAAACCCAAGGACCATGGCACCCACTCCCCCAGGGGCCTCCCTGGGACCAAAGCACCTCAGTGGGGACCCCAGCAACCCTAGGACCATGGCACCCACTCCCCCAGGGGCCTCCCTGGGACCAAAGCACCTCAGTGGGGACCCCAGCAACCCTAGGACCACGGCACCCACTCCCCCAGGAACACCCCTGGGACCAGAGCACTTCAGTGGGGGCCTAGCACCCCTAGGACCATGGCACCCACTCCCTCAGGGGCCTCCTTGGGACCAGAGCACCCCAGTGGGGACCCCAGCCCTCCCGCACCCCTGGCACACACATGGGCACTCCCAGCATTCCCATCCCCAGCATTCCCAGTGTCATGAGGACTGCAGCACTGCTGGGACCACAGCCCCCCCGGGGGGACTTCCAGCACCTTTGGGACCATGGCACTCCATGGAGACCTCAACACCCCTGGCACCCCAGCACCCCATGGGGACCTCAACACCCCTGGCACCCCAGACCCCAGCCCCATGGACACCCCAGCAGCCCCAGGGACAGCAGCACACGTGGGGACACCCAGCATCCCTGGGACCACAGCATCCCTCAACCTCCCGGGTAGGCTGGCACCCCAGTTCCACAGCCACCCCAATGGCCTTCCTCCCCCTTGGCTGCCCCCCGATGCCCCGGCACCCACGTTACCGACGGGGAACCAGAGTCCCGTGCCATGCAGGTGGCGGTTGAGGGCCTTGCGGGTGACACCGGGCTCCACCGCCACCGTGAAGTCCTCCAGGCTCAGCTCCGCGATGGCGTCCATGCGGCTCAGGTCGAAGCAGACGCCGCCCTGGCACGGGGACACCATGGCTGGGCACGGCGGGGCACTGAGAGACCCCCCCCAACCTCTGGGGGTGCCGGGGGGTGGGTGGCCATACCTGCACGGCGTTGACGCCCCCCTCCAGGCCGGTGCCGGTGCCGAAGGGCACCATGGGGACACGGCAGCGGTAGCAGAGAGCTGCCAGCTCCTGTACCTGCCCCACCGACTGGGGCCACACCACGGCATCCGGGGGAGCACACCTGGGGGACGGGGGGGCACTGCTGACCTACAGACCTCCCACACCCCTAGACCCTTCCCCTCCCCAGGACCCTTCCCCTCCACAGACCCTTGTCTTCCTCATGGCCCTTCCCTTCTTCATGGCCCTTCCCCTCCCCAGGACCCTTCCCCTCCCCAGGACCCTTCCCCTCCCCAGGACCTTTCCCCTCTCCTCCTTCCCCTCTGCAGACCCTTCCCCTCCCCAGGACCCTTCCCCTCCACAGACCCTTGTCTTCCTCAGGGCCCTTCCCTTCTTCATGGCCCTTCCCCTCCCCAGGACCCTTCCCCTCCCCAGGACCCTTCCCCTCCCCAGGCCCTTTCCCCTCTCCTCCTTCCCCTCTGCAGACC